ACAATGGAAACAGAGCCCTAAACCTATAGCATATATTTGCATGAGGTTTTTAGCGGTAACTGTGACATTAATATATTGTGAATTGGTATACTGAAATCCCTTGGAGTTATTTGTGTTGTATGTCACTGAAGTATTGTATCTTTGTTGGGAGATATAGATAGGTATGCTGTGTGATAAAAGTGGGGGTGATGCTTTTCTGACACCTTCATTCCTTGGGCTCTGTGAATTCTCTGAAAGCACAGTCTTATGCTTTCTTACAGTCAGCTTATGCTGAGAAGTACTTTCAGCAAGGACAGTTACATCTATTGTTTAGGTGATGACATAGAAGTTGAAGAAACTAGCCTAGAGATGAATAAAATGGTTAATTTAAGACAGGAACTCAACTCTGATGACTCTAAATCTAGTGCTCTTTCACTGTAGTGCCTCTGAGGCTATGAATCTGAGAAACCACAAGGATTAGTTTTGTCCTTCAGAAAGGATAATCTCTCAAGTCATTTCACTATACCTAGATTAATTTTGGCTATTATTACTCAAAAGACTGCATTCCAGGTACTATGAGGTCTAGAAATCTCTACAAGTGTTTTCTAGTCTAGTCTAGTTCATTATGCATTAGGACCAAGATGAATGTAATATGCATTTTACCTGGTAATATTGAGGAATCATGTTTCCAAAACTTCTGTACCAATGTTTATATGAATGCCTAAATGAGCACAAAGATCTAGCAACCAAACACTCTAAAAACTTAAGCAAATTATAAGAGGAAGGCTAACTCTATAGAATTCAAAGTAAATTACAAAGTTCCTTCTATTAAACGATTGTCATATTGGAGAAAATAACTATATGAGAAAAAGATAAAATTACATCTCTTCCTTATTTCACACAGCAAAAGAGAGTTCTAAAAGCAAGTTTAAAACTTAGATTACGTGAATATACGAAACTTCTTGGCCAAAAAACAGATAAGAAATTAAAATGGCAAATGAAAAACTGAGAAAAAGTCACCACTTATGTCCAATATAGCAGAGAAGAAAATGAAAATACTGTAGAAAATAAACATGATATAATAAAATAGTCTATATAATAGAATGCAAATAGCCCTTAAATATATGAAGAATTATTCAACCTGACTCATAATAAATAATAAAAATACAAATGAAAACTGCCCTGAGCTAATATTTCTCATCTATCAGAATGGGAGAAATCCAAAAGTATAATGACATATCCTGTAAGTGAATCGTCAGGGAAACAGACATTTTTACACATTAGCAGGAAGGTAGCATGTTACATGTGACTTGAAATAATAGAAGAATTACGTATGCATTTATCCTCTTTCTAAGCATTCACTGTTCTGGGAGGCTATTCCAAAGATAAACAAAATATATCTAAATAGCATAATCACAAGCATTATTGATAATAACAACAGACTGGATAAAATCCAATATGAAGGTGGTTGATTAAGCTATGGGTCACAACAAAGAAGTATACAGCTGTGAAAATGGAAAGAGGGAGGTTTCCACAGATTGTTGTAGAATGTCCCCCGAGAAAATTTTCTTAATTGAATAAAGACAACACGCTGAAAAGTTTTTATAGTAAGATAAGTTCTGTGAGAGAAGTAGGAAAAATGCAATGAAAACTAATAAAGATAAGAGGAGATGAAAGAAATCTTTTAGGAATGTACATTACAATATAGCCCTGATTTGTTGGAAATGCAATATTGTGCATAGTTGAAAAAACGTATATTTATGTCAAAAAGTAAACAAAAATATCTCTAAAATTTGAAAACAAATGAGTCTAGCTATAATGGTTACACATGGCCACAAAGTGTAAAACATTTTCCATAAAAGACTTTAAACAAAGCAATTTGAGTCTACCTCCTATTGCGCAATATTTGTTTTAGCATAAAGTGAATAAATAATTATTGAAATATCATTGAAACAAAGGTTGTCAGCATAATAGAAGAGTTACAGGTCTAAAGTAAGATAAGGTAAGTACAAAACTTTCATCTTATTTTGAAATCGAAATTTAGTTTGAAACAATTTTTTTCTCAAAAAAATTACCACTCATAATGACAACCCAGTGGCAATGAACATTCCTATTCCCAAAATTTTCTCTAAAAGGAAATCTTTGCTCTCTAAACAGAACCGGAGTTTTCTAGACAAATAGCTGATTTGAAGTCTGAGGAAGAAAATGTAATGAGCCTGGAGCAACCTAATTTCCAGAAAGCAAGAATGCTGTGAATGGCTAGTTCGCTAGTGGATCATTTCAAAGAGAGATAGGAGGCAATTTGAAAGGGCTCACACAGGATTTAGTTAACATAAATTGAATATTGACTGAAATTAATTTATAGGCATAAAATGTGTTTAAATCTAAAAATTTTAATCTAGATACTAAAAAAGAAAAAATAACAAATTATTGGTTGCTTTTAACGGTTGCTGGGGTATCAATTCATAACGCTGAAAATTGGCAAATAAAAGAGATTAACATTTTTTCTGTCTTTCCTTTATGAATTGTATTTCAGGGTTACCTAATAGTTTATGAGGGGAAATTCAGAAGAAATAAAAGCAGAAAAAAGAGCAGAATTAGAAATTCACAATTTTAGAACACATTAAAAAATGGATCAGGGCAATGATTCCAATAGCTATTAAAGTCATTAAGTGAAAAGTTGATGGGAAATGTTGAAAGGAAATAATGATTCTGACGCTACATGATCTACAGATCAGACTAAGCAGCACTAAAGGTCAGACAACTAGTTAACCTATACCTCACAATTTGAGGCTACTGGCCTTAGTCAGAACCACCTGTGAAGAAGTCTTGCCTAAAAGAAACTAAAGACTCAGCCTGAACTGATAAAACTTCCTGAGTATCAGTGTAAAAGTGCTGGTGCAGAACAAGGCAAATGACGACGAAGCAATAAGCCAAATACAGAACATACAGCATTCTACAAATGTTCCAGCTTTTCCAAAACTTACCTGATCACACATATTTCTACAGTCTCATACACACACACACAAAGGAAGGTATACATAATACACAGAGCAGAATGTTACATAGTAAAGACAATTTAATTATACCAATCAAATTTGTTTGATTCTTGGCTCAAACTAACTGTGAAAATATAACTTTGAGACAATTGGGGAAATTTAAACATAGGTTTGGCATTACATTATATAATAATCTGTTATTATTTTTGTTAGGTGCAATTTTGGCATGAATGTTTAATCAAATGTTTATTTTATTAATGATTGCGTTTTTTGTCAACTCCTATTACTTACCTAGTTTTCTTAGCAAGTAGATTGATTGAGAAATATAATACCCTATAAGTAGAATTATATTTTAAATGACTCGAATTTATAGAGTTGGCAGGCTGGGACTCAGTGTCCCTAAAATGTCTTGACACTTCAGGACAAAGAACAGTAAACAAGGTCCTGTTTTCCAAGCAACATGCAGCACTTTTGGCCAAAAATACATTTGGGGCAGAAAAAAATCAGTGTAGCAGTTCTCATAGTTCCTTGTTTTGAGGCTTGTAGCATCGATTGAAGTATTTTTTGTTTTCTTGAATATCTTCAAAAGACAAAGTTTTAAAATTATATAGATAAAACTTTTTTAGTTTTATCATCCAGATTATTTTTGCAGATCTGAATTTATTTAACAGTAATTTCTTAATGAAATGTACTGCAAAAGTATTCAAGTAATGTCATCGCATACTTCGTTATTGTGCTAAGAATTACCAACATAGTGACATAAACACAGCTTAAAAGGAAACCCATAAATATACCCATATAGGCTTCCTCTTTTTCTTTCTGCCATAAATAATGTTATTCTGAAATATCCAAGTTATATTTTTGCAAAACAGGTTTAGAAAGCTTGGAACATCACAAACAAATTGCAGAATTACTGAGATGCATAAAAAAAAGCTGACTGTTTTACTTGAAAACAGGCTGTATTTGCTATTCCACTTGGCCCAAACTCAACCCTCCACCCCCAGGTATTTCCATAATTTGCTCTCTCACTTCCTAATGGTCCATATTCAAATAACACCACACTAAGGGCTTTTTTGACCTCCCTATTTAAAATGATGCCTTCAATTATATATTTTTGCATTTATAATTACTGGAAAATGATTATATATTCATCTATTTTTTGTATTTCCATTAAATATAATTGTTTACAAAGGGATATTCTTTCTCTTTTTCCCCAATACCTAGCTCAGGATAAACCTGTAATAAATATTTATTGAATGAATGAATAAATGAGCAAGTATGTATCCTCATTACATACTGAACCTTCTTTTCCTGGTTTCTAACTAGAGATAGAAAATTCAGAAGAGTGGACATTTCCTTTGGTTTATTTTTCTTTTCTTTTATTTTGACTGCCCAGTGTCAATAATCACTTCTAAAAACATCCTTATTGTTTTCTGTGACCTATCCTCTCTGCATTCACATTCCTCATAGTTCTGATAAGTTTGGTTCTATTCCCAGTTCCCTAAAAGTCCATATTTATCACTCAGTAAAGATTGATGGTACACTTACTTTGTGCTGATCTAGGAGGTTGGAATATATCAGTGAACAAAGCAGTGAAAAATCTCTGCTTTCCTGGACTTTTATTCTAGCAGGAGAAACAAACAATATATAATAAATGAGATGAATAAAGATTAAAAATATATATTTGAACTATGCAAAGTACTTCAACACTAAATTGGGTAGTGAAGTAGCTCCTGCATTATAATAGTATGTTTAAGGAAGATTTCACTGAAAACGTGCTTCGAGCAAAAACTTAAGAGAAAGCATTCCAGCAAAGAGGAAATACTGGGAAAAAAGACCATAAAGAAGGAGTGTGCAGCATTTTTTGAGAAACAAAAAGCAAGCACAAAAGCAAAGAGGTCAGACTATCTGGAGAAAGCAGAGGAAAGAAAGTGTAATAAAATAGGACAAAGATTTGAAAGGAACTAGATCATTGTCCCAACTTAAAGTTTAACTTTGTAAATATTTCTGCTTTAACTGTCAATGGATTATGATGACCTAAAAGATGGATCTTCACACTTCTCCATTATCGTGAGAGTGGATCGTAAGAAGTAAGAGGGTTATGCTGAGCATATAGTTGTCAGTTGAGTAATATTTGATAATGATGACTTTTATAATTACATAATTTTGTTAATTGTACGAAGGTACGCAAGTGATCAGAAGGCTGAGAGAAGTGACCTTAAAATATAAATTTTCAGGTGAAATTCCACTAATGCTGCTCCAGTTTTCTAGTACACAAGAATTGCATCAGAGAAAGGTAATTAATGTTAATTGGTTATTTAATGACCTCAAGAATATGAGACAATAGGTCGTCTCTATGGTTCATGTCCCAAAGGTGGTGACTATAGCTATAAGAACGCATGCATCCCTTCCAAACAGAAGAGGTCCTCCCTTTGCCATCGGCAGGTTTGTTTTAGGACTCCAAAGACAGATTGATATTAATTTCAATGTGGAGTATGTAGAAAACAGTGTGAGGGGAAATTTACCCTTTTAATTTAGACAGTTCTTGAGAAATATTTAGCCACTGCAAGTCACTTATCTGAATGTGCAAGAAAAGGATGAGCATTTACTTTACAGAGCTTTGTGTTAGAGGGCCTGGCTCAGGTGAGCTCCTCACTGACGGCCTATGAACAACAGGTACTGGGGTACTGGGGATAGGAAGAGCTCTGAGATTTTAGGGGAATGTGCATTGTCTTGATGCTATAAATTTTTTGAAGGGGAGTCAAGGTAGAAGAGACAAATATTTAAATAAAATTAAACAAGCAGAGATTGAATAGATTCTCTAGTGATAAAAATTGAAAAGGACTAACTTTCATTGAGATTATAAAGCAGGAACCACATGTGTTCCCTGAGAGCAAAAACTAAAACAAAATGGAGAAAACAATTATAGGAAAGAATACTTTAGCTGTTATATTTTTTATATAGCATTTGGGACACAGGAACCATTATATTAAATATAACGTTAGTTTAAAATGAATTCTTAAATGCCTTGGCCAAATTAAATATTGTATCAGGAAAAAGTTTGATAATTACAGTGTCTGGCTTTGCAATGGATTGCTTTTTGATGTTGTCTTTAATACTCAAATTTATGAGTATAGGGACAGAGGGCCCTTGAGTGTCTCCATTTTGCATATGATCTGACATTTTTATGATGACCCACCTGAAATCCATTTCCTTGGTTGTGTGACCAGAGAGAATCTTACCAGAAATGATAGAGAAAGAGGTTTTGAGAATGGTACGCTCTTAGAACTGTTGGCAAGTTCTAAGAGAAATATAGAAAAATATAATTTAGAGAAAGATAATTTCTCATTTAGAGAAATATAATTATTTTTATTACTGTTTTCTCAAGAAAAGTCTTTATAGTTTAGTACCACCACCAATTTACAATCTTTCTAGTGCTTTCTAGTATAACTCTGTGGCATGTACTCTGTCACTAAACTATTTCCCACAGGTTTAGTGCCTCTAGTTTTCAATTAAATGTATAATGATTAACAACGGAAATATGTTAGTATCTAAACAGAAACATGGATCAGAGTCTGGCTAATAAAATGGATCCAGGGCTGGGAGTCTGGGGATCTGGGATCTAGTCACAGATGGGTAGATGGGTCCTTATTTACATTTTTTATCATTGGGAAAGCCAAGATTCTCCAGCTGTTGTTTTGTCCCCTCTGAATAAAGAGATAGACTAGGTTATCTTTATCATTACTTCCAATTTTATTAGTCCTTAAGCAATGAGGAAGGATTGACATTTAGGACTCCGTGAGCTGAAGAGCATACTCTCTGAAAAAAATTAGGATTAATTTTGAAAGCACATTTTCTGGGTAAGAGAGAAAAACAAAGATTAAAGTGCTATATGGAAGTAACAACAAAGGCACAAATGAAAAGTGTTAGGGATGTTCCTTCTTAATGTCACAGTGGGAACACATGATACAAAAATTGATTTGTTTAGAAATTTCTCAATTCTTTTACTGATTATAGGGCTGACATAATCGTCATCATATTATGCTAGGCTTATCTTTGATGAACTTAAAATATTCAAGGAATTTGAAAGTGTTATGGGAGGATTTGATTTAAAATAACCAATCCCTCCTATTCATATTCTTATTCTTATTGTAAATATTAAAAATTACAATTGAGACCTAAAAAAACAAATAAATAATTGTATTGTTTTTACTTAAAGAAAAATTTTAAATGGGTTAAATCATGCTTTAAAATTTTAGACATTTAGGGGTCCGACCCCGTGGCCGTGTGGTTAAGTTCGCGCGCTCCCCTTCAGTGTCCTGGGGTTTCGCTTGTTTAGATCCCGGGCTAGGACATGGCAATGCTCGTCAGGCTATGCTGAGGAGGTGTCCCACATAGCAGAACCAGAGGCACTCACAACTAGAATATAAACTATATACTGTGGGCTTTGGGGAGAAGAAAAAAAATGCAAGATTGGCAATAGTTGTTAGCTCAGGTGCCAATCTGAAAAAAAAAAACACACACACACAAAGAGACTGCAGTGAGAGATCATTTCCACATACCGGCAGGCCAGAAATGAAGATGTCTGAAAAAAAAGTTTAGACGTTTAGCATATCTTGCATAAAAGTAAACAGACTGCTTTGTGGCCATTTGTAACCGTCTGCTCTACACAGCTGCTTTGTCCCAAAAATTTTGCGCCATGCTAGTGGTCAGATCATATGCATGGGGAGTAGCTTGTTCCTTGATACTCACATGTTCTGCTATCAAATTATCATTTCTGAGTTTCAACAAAGTTAATCATTTCTTCTGTGAATTCTCCTCATTGCAGTCCCTCTCTTACTCTGATACTTATGTTAACCAGTTGCTGCTTTTTATTTTTGCCACCTTTAATGGGGTCAGCATATTACTCATCATTCTCGTGTCATATGTATTTATCATTGTCACCATCCTCAAGATGTGTTCAGCCAGTGGGTGCCCCAATGCCATCCCCACCTGTGCCTCACACCTGACCACCATCACCATCTTTCACGGCACCATCCTCTTTCTCTACCATGTGCACAATTCCAAAAACTCCAGGCACACAGTCAAAGTGGTGTCTGTGTTTTACACAGTGGTGATCCCCATGTTGAATCCCCTGATCTACAGTCTGAGAAATAAGGAAGTCAAGGATACTCTTAGCAAAATAATGGACACTAAAGTCATTTTTATTGAGCATATTATTTTAGTAGAATTTGTCCCTGACATGTAAATAAAGTTTGTCCATAATCATTGATTTCAAAGAATCCTTTAACATTATGAAGAGTTAATGTTGTACAATGGAAAGGTCATGGATTTGGGTTCAAAGAAACTAAACTTGGCTCTGTGTCTTACTGGAAAATAAGACAGCTATCTCTCATCTTTAATTTTTCATCCACAAATTTGAGATAACATAAACTAGCTCTTAACCTGATTGTGAAGATTAAAAGACTGTATAGAAATCATGCGTAAAAGCTTGTATATTCTCAATAAACAATTTCATCTCCTGTCTTCTAACATACCTGGAGTAGACTAGGCTTTCAATAAATATATGAGTTTATCTTATAAAAATATAAATAGCAGATAAAATAAGGCTAGTCTTTCAAGGAAGGCACATTCCAGTGTTGACAGTAAGGTAGTGCAAAAGTTGTCACGGTATAAGGTAGAAAATAGTAAGTATCATAGAGGATTTGAGAAAAAGAAAAGTTCAAATGCATTTAGGCATTTTAGAGAAACACCTTCATGAAATAGGTATTACTGGAAATTGTCCTTGGATAACAGAACAGATAGAATTTTAGGAGACCCATTTCAACAAGGAGTTTTATTCAGATGATGAAAGCATGGCAAAATCAAGGAGATCAGAATGTAATACTGAATCAATGATCCAGCACATTTTTTATTGATCTAATACTTATAACATGTATTTGTGTGTGTTTGTGTGTGTGTGTGCATCTCTGTTGTATTGTATATATAGGTTACTTGGCATGAACGAAAAGTTGATAAGACATGGTACTTATTCTGAATGTGTTTCAAATGAGTTCCCATGTGGCAGTATGATAAGCTGTAATAGGGTCCACCAAAGGCTTAGAAATAGTATATTGGATCTCAAAACATCCTATAGGTAAAAAGTAATCACGATGAGTGTCTACCACACCTGTATTTCATGCTATCATTCTTCCTATAAAGACATCAAAAACACGATCAATTCTTTATGATTCTTTTTTTCTGAATGTGAACGTAATCTCTCAATCCTTCTCAACTGCACACCTACCTTAAGAAAGGGGAAAAAAAAAAACGTGTTTGGAGCTGCCTCACGTGTTGAAAACTAATTGCCTATATAACCTTATTCAAAATAAAATGAAAACCGGGCAGTAATTAGCCTTAAGACCTATTTAATCTGGCAAATTAAAAAGTACTGCATCTCTCTAACATTAATAACTAACTTTTGCTTGAATAACTTGCCCACCCTTCTCTTTCTCTTTAGTCAATATATCTAGATAAAATTTCAAACTAATCATTAATGTAGTGGGAGAAATATATTTCCAGGTATTTTGATAAGGAAAAAAATAAGCTTGGGGAAATTTTTATATAGATTCAATAAAGTTATTTGGAATGTTCATGTTATTTTAAACATATGATCATTTTTAAAATGTTCCATTTATAAACATTATGTGATAAGGAATAAATTAAATAACCATTTTATATTGAAATATAAAATATGTAAGAAACAGTGTTTTACATATCAGATGTCTGATTATGGAATGCTTTTCTCTCCTATTGACTTCTGCTTCTCTAGATGTTCACAAACTTATTTTTCACTATACATCTGGCAAATATACAATGTCTAATTTTCTTTGAAATTAGGAAATCATTTATATTAATTTTAAATTGTATCAATGATGGTTAATGCCTCTTTATAGAGATTGTATTTTACTTCTGTCCTTCTTGGACCAAGGATGATCACATTTTGTGTTAGAACTAACACAACTCATTTAGCTTTTACTTTGAGGAAACCAAGGTCCATGATGTTTAAGTGACCAGGTCAACATTATAAGAGCAATTGTTGATAGAATTAATGAAATCATTGAAGGCACCAGACACATCAGAAGCACATTTTCCAGTAAACACTGGTAACATCATATTTTTTTTTTATTTTCTAGTTATGACAGTTCATATTCTTTATCTAAATTCTGTTACTTCCATATAGAACATGACTCATAGCAGTAGTCTTCATATTTTTTGGTCATGTGCAAATCAAAAGTTTTTCTTTCTGCATTGTCAACCATTTAATGATAAAATAATAATTATACAACTAATTAAAAATATAATTACATTTAAAATTTGGATAAAATATAATTAATCAAAATTGAAAAATATTTTGGAAACATTTGTTTGTATTAGAAATATTATGAGTAGGTGTTTGGATTTTCTATCACAATTAATTAACTTATCTTTGGAAAGACATCACTTAATGCTAAAAGGCAAGAGGTTTCAGCATCATTTATATTTCTACGTTTTAATAAATGAAAATGCTGAGACTATTTGCTCATATTAAAGGTAAATGGGGATGGAAATTCTACCAGAAATAGTGCTGTAACAGAAATATCACTCAATTCTTTGAACTCCATCAAAGTTACATGCCAATTTCTCATGATGATCTTTCATCCAAGCTTTTTTAAATAATGTATTGAACAAAATTGGATTGACTCCAATTTTGTCAAAGGCCAAAATTTTGGAAATCATATCTTTCAAAAGGATTTGTTGCCGAGTGCGGTAGAAAACATGGTCCAAATTCTTTAGTCCTTCCCATATCCATGACTCTTAGCCCTTTTCTGATCAAATAGTGGAATCAATCTCTCCACTCCTGGTATGTAAGCTGCTCTTGTTACTAGCTTTGTCTAACAGAAGATTGCTAAAATGACACTGTGACACTTTTAAGCCTCTGAGAGGCCTTTTGACTTTTTCACAATCTTTGGGAATTTTCTCAGACTCTTTGAAAAGCTGTTATGTGCATAGGAACAGACTAGAGTGTTGGATAATGAGGAACATGGCCACCAGACTTGAGTATGAAGCCTCTTAGATCATCTAACCTGCCAAGCTGATATCATACACATAGCAAAACAAGCCAGGATCAGCCTTGTCAGGATCAGATTACAGAACTAACTTACTGACTCATGTAATAGTGACCAGTGCAATAAGTAATTGTTGTTTTTAACTAACATATTTTGGAGTGGTTTGTTATGCAACCATTAGAACCACTCACTTTCTTAAGTTTTGAAAATGTTACCACAAACACCTTCCAAGTCGTACCATACAACAATTAAGCATATCTGTTATTCTTCCTCTTAAATGCATCTTGATTAAAACAATGGAATTAAAGGTTTAGAAAATTTAACACATTGTTGATTTCATTGAACCTTGCAAAAGATACAATATTTTATTAATGCATTCATTTATTGTATGTGTTTTAAATACATTTCATCAAAAATTTAGAGCTTCATATTGATATTATTCAATTTATGGATAATGACCATGAAATTTCAATAAAATATTTATATTTAAATTAGTTTTTAAAAACACTCGCCATGTCATTAATTCTAGGACAAACAGATAAGCAAGTAGCTTTCCTGAAGTGGGATGCCTAGATGATATAAAACATCACTGACAATGGTACTCTTTTTAGATAATATTTTATTTTTTCTGTCATGAAACTCTCCCCTTTAGGAGGATACATTTTGTGACTGTAGTTTCAGGGTGCACTAAGAACAAAAAGAATAGACGTTAAAAAAATATTATGATGGGCCAGCCCCCTAACCAAGGGGTTAAGTTCGTGCCCTCCGCTATGGTGGCCCAGGGTTTTGCTGGTTCAGATCTTGGATGTGGACATAGCACCACTAATCAAGCCATGCTGAGGCGGCATCGCACATAGCACAACTAGAAGGACCTACAGCTAGAATATACAGCTATGTAATGTGGGGCTTTGGGGAGAAGAAGAAGAAGGGGAAAAAATGAAGATTGGCAACAGATGTTAGCTCAGCTGCCCATGTTAAAAAAAGAAAAAAAAAAAGGAGAGAAAGAAAGAGAGAGAGCTCCCTCTTTGAAAACTACCAAAGTACCAAAGCTTGAAAAGACGTATTGTCTTCAATCTCCTACATATCTCATTTCAAAACATCATTGAAATGGCTGCCATAAATGTCTAATGCCACCATTTTGCATGAAAGGAAATATGTACTACATGCCAAAGTCGTGGATTTGACGTGTCTTGATAAAAGAAAACTTCAGGATGCATGTAAAACAATATTTCAAATTGTTCTTATGTTTTAGGTTTTGGAAGTTTGCTTTTGTTTTTCTAATAGGGGTAATTCACATAGTAATAAATGAATGGATAAGAGGAATCTTCACTTTTGAAAAATGAGAAAAATCAAATCATGAGAGTGCTAAGTGGAAAGGAGACTCAGAAACGCTCCTCAAACACAAAAAATTATCAGATGGAGCAATATTAGGAAAACATATATTTATTGATATTACCTGTAACTAATTACATCCATGGAATTCTTGACATGTTTAGTATATCAAAGGGCACAAACCACAGACAGTTGTTTGAACACTGTTGGTTTAGGGATACAATATATGGTCAGAAAAGGAGCAGAGCTGAGAGAGATCCTTGAGACAATCTCTTTTCATGGTCTCTGGCATTGGGTAAGGGCTATGCCATCCCAGCATCATTCAGTAGCTCTGCTCTTCCTCACAGGGTCAAATGTGTGGTACAACCCAAAAAGCAGCATATGGTCTCATACTACCACTGGTTCTATGTGTGACTTTGGGCAAGTTCGACCTGACAGTGCCTTAGTCATCTCATTCATAAAGATACATAACTGTACCAATCATTTATTCTTATAAAGATGAAATGTGTTTATAGTTGTCTTCAGAACAGTAACTTGCTTACAGGAAGTGGTCAATAAATGTGAGCAATTATTATTATTCTCCATAAAAGAAGTTCATTATCCCCACCTCCTTCTGGCATTTGGCAGAACTCCGGTGTGGCTTCAGACCTTATCCCCTCCAGGAAGGAGCTTTTGAGTCTAATACAGGCAAAGTTTATAAGACCTATTCACATATTTCACAATGGCGATGTGATCCCTGACTCACAGAGCAATGCTTGGATGCAGCATTCAGTGCTCTGCAATTCATCATGAACTCTGCAAGGAATCATGTTGAATTATAATAATGTGT